AAAGTTATCCATCTCTGCGTTGTTGTAACAGCAACAGAACTAAATGTTCAGCATAGGACACTGATTAAAGTGTAACACATCATCCGTGTAATACTAAGCAGCTATAAGAAAGCTCTTTATGCACTAATATGTAATGGTGTTCAAAATAGATTTTTTTCTTTTTTTAAGATTTCATTTTTAAGTCATCTCTACACCCAACGTGGGGCTCGGATTTACAACCCCAATATCGAGAGTCACATCCTCTACAGTCACCCAGGCGCCCCCAAAATACATCTCTTAATCTTAACGTAAGTAGTATGGTATGATATTTGTGTAAAATGTAACAGTGATTAATAAAATACATGTTTCTATTTATTATTTCTATTTCTTGTATAGGCACACAACCTTTGACAAACTGCACAAAAACTGCTAACTGGCTATGGGAAAGTTATCACTTATTCTCTTAAAAAAAGATCTACTGGTTCAAAGCAAAAGCAGGAAACCTCTTTCTTCTATGGTCGCTCTCCACTGAAACTGACCGGTATTCTTTTTCTCCTTCTCTCCTATTACATTAGTAAGACTCTAACTAGGTTGCAAGAAAGGTAATAAGCCCAACATACCTGAGGATGCTGACTGGCTTGAGGAGAAGTAAGAATAAAGCTCTGGGGAAAAACAGATGGAAAAAAATCTCTCTCCTCCTGACCACGTCCTACCTTCCACACTCTTGGACTCCGTAAGGCCCAAACTATACGTCTTACTTTGGGGATCTGCTATATATCTCCTATAACTTTATAAATAAATGTCCCTCTTTTCTGTTGCCTCGATTGCCCTTCTCACATACGTTTACTGCTCGAAAACTAAGACTATCCCCATTTCATGCCCTAAAGGAACTGAGATGAGAAAGATTAAGTCACTTGTCCAAGGTCACACACTTTCCGGAAGAGCTAGAATTTAAGCCAGGCAGTCTGACCCCACAGATCATGTGGGTGGTTGCCCCCAATTAGGTACAATTTATCCATTACCTGTAGATAACAAAGTACACTTGTAATTCAATGCAGATGATCGTAATCCAAATAAAAGATTTCCTGGGGTCTAATTTCAGGCATCAGAGAACTGAAGTAAACGAGAATATCTTGAGGCATATTTTGTGAATGGGACCTTTATGAGGCCTTCCAACTTTGAAAGAGTTAAATCTGGTCCAATGAAAGACCATCACCTGTGCCTGAAGGCAACCAGTCAATCCGAAGAAAGACTAAACTTCAGTACAATTTTATTAGAAGCTTGAAATTGCCTGTTATTATTTACAATTTCCTACTGTTTGTGAAATTCTAACTAGAGAATTCACATAGGACCAAGCCAGGATTGGATTTTAAAGAGACAAATAACCTAAAATGCGCACCTCTCCCCCAAGAGTAATGGGTTAGAGGATCCAGAAACAGACCCAAATAAATTAAGGAATACATTAAAGGTGGCATTTCAAGTCAGAGGGGAGAAGATGGTTTATTCCATGAATGATGCCGAGACAACTAGTTAGGCATCTGGAGGCTGATCTTAGTGTAGTAACCAAAATAAATTCTAGGAGGAACAAAAATTTAAATATAAAAACAAACTATGGGTGAATTATTTTTTTTAAACATTGGAATTTACAAAAAGCCATTCAAAGCATAAGATCCAGAAGAATAGAAAGAAAGAGCAATAAATTTGACTACATAAATATTAAAAACATGTCCATGGTGGGACACCTGGGTGGCTCAGTTGGTTGAGCGACTGCCTTCGGCTCAGGTCATGATCCTCGAGTTCCAGGATCGAGTCCCACATCGGGCTCCCTGCTCAGCGGGGAGTCTGCTTCTCCCTCTGCCCCTCCCCCCTCTCATGTGCTCTCTCTCTCTCTCTAGTAAATAAATAAAAATCTTAAAAAAAATAAAAAATAAAAAAATAAAATAAAAACATGTCCATGGTGCAAAAAAAAAACAAACAACAACAAAAAACGGTGGCCACCAACAAATTAAATGACAGATACACTGGCAGGAAATATTTGCAACATATTTGACAAAAGGATTAATTTCCTGAATATATAAAGAATTCAGACAGATTACTAAAAATGATTAACAGCCCAACAGCAAATGGCAAAAGACATAGCAAGTTATTTTTTAGGAAAAATCAATAATAAAAGAAATAAAAAGGCTCATAAACATGGGAAAAAATCATAAAATTGAAGAAATGCAAATTTAAAACAGTGCTACACCATGTTTTACATCCAACATAAGAGACAATATAGTGTAATGGTTAAAATTGATGGCTCTAGAGTCAGAATACTTGGGATTAAATGCTGGCCCTACCCCTTACTGTGTATGCCCCAGTTTCCTTGACCGGGGTGGTTGTTAAGAACAAAATGAGAAAATGTAACAAAAAGCAATTAGAACCGTGGCTGGCATATAGTAATTATGTTCATTCTTGTTATCATATTGACAAAAACGGTAAAAACAGGGTGGGGGGGTGGGTTAGCCTGGTGATGGGTATTAAAGAGGGCACATTCTGCGTGGAGCACTGGGTGTTATGCACAAACAATGAATCATGGAACACTACATCAAAAACGAATGATGTAATGTATGGTGATTAACATAACAACAAAAAATTTTAAAAAAACGGTAAAAACAGTAGTGTGGGAAAGAGGACTGGGCCTCTCAGATACGGTCAGATGATGTATAAACTGGCACAATGTCTTTGGCAACTTGCATTCTAATTGCACAAGCCATTTGACTTTGCAATTCACTTTTAGAAATGCATCGTATCGATCACATGTCCATAAAATTATAACCTATCTATATATATTCATAAAGATATATAAATAGCTTTTCAGTGCAAGACTGTCTATAGCAGGGGCGCCTGGGTGGCTCAGTCAGTTAAGTGTCCAGCTCGGTTTCCGCTCAGGTCATGATCTCAGTTTCGGGAGATTAAGCCCCGTGATGAGCTCCCCATTCAGCGAGGAGTCTGCCTCCCCTCGCTCTCTTCCTCTGCCCCTCCCCCTGCTCATGCACTCTCTCTCTCAAATAAATCTTTTTTTATTTTTATTTTTAAAGATTTTATTTATTTATTTGACAGACAGAGACATAGCAAGAAAGGGAACACAAGCAGGGGAGTGAGAGAGGGAGAAGCAGGCCTCCCGCCGAGCAGGGAGCCCCATGCAGGGCTGGATCCCAGGCCCCTGGGATCATGACCTGAGCCGAAGGCAGATGCTTAACGACTGAGCCACCCAGGCGCCCCTCAAATAAACAAATCTTGAAAAGAATGTCTGTAACAACAAAAGACTGGAAATAACCTAACTGGTCATCCAAATGGGACTAAATAAATACTTGATGGTGTATCCTAAAATGGAATAATATACTATCATGAAAAAAACATCCCCAAGATAGTAAAAAAACAATCACAGAACAATGTGGAGATCTTGCCACGGTTAGTGTTAGAATGCACAGAAGATTTCTGGAAGGAGATACAAGAAATAGTAAAAGTAGTTACTATCGTAAGAGTAACACCAATCGCCTCTGAGGAGCAAGACTGGGAGTTGAAGTCAGATGGAGATTTGCTTTCATTAAACATCCTTCTGTAAAAATGGAATGACTCCCCCCACGTACATCACTTTTTCCATTAAACAAAAACTAGTTGACTTTTTAAAATAAGAGTGCAGTCATCAGATAATCTTACAACTCTATCGGAAAAGCATACCAGCTGAAGACGGAAGTTCTAAGAGAAATGCTGGTTGTTTGGCTATCCCTGGCTTTGAGGACACAATGGATGTCCTAGAGCAAAGTCCTTGGTTCTGAAGGTTATCAATCTAGAGTGTTGAGAACCACAGGGATACACAGAAGTCCGCTTTCCAGACCTCACGTTCTCCGGCTGTTTCCCATGTGAGCCTACCGAACAAGGGCCGTTTTACCTCCCTCTCTCCAAGTGTAGGAGTGCTCTTATACTTTATGTGTCAGTTGGGATGATGACTTTGGGGGGAAAACAGGGACAACTGTCCCCCTATAATGCTCTCTTGGTTCTCAATGATTTTGAACAACTTACTTGTTTTTTCCTTTCATCTTCACGAATCTTATGTTACAAATAGACTTACAACTCATAAGGCAGTTTCACTTTCTCATTAATTCTGACAACCCCAGAGCTGGATATGATAATGCCATTTCAGACGAGTCTCGGAGGGGTTGCCCAGTCCCCCCAATATTAGGTTTGTGTCCTGGCACCACCACTGAGCTCTCCAAACCTGGCGCTTTCCACAGCATCGCTTTCTCCATCCCTGCCCAGTCTCCCGCCACTGGCTCCCAATTCTACCTCACCCCTGTCAACACCACGCACCTGTGGTCTTAGGCCCTGCGATCCTAGAGGGAGGGAGAACAGAGTCATTCAAGGACAAAGGACAAGACATGCTTTTTCCTTCTGGAGATAAATGAGTCGCTTTTTAAAACATTATTCCTTTGTTACTCTGAGAAAATGAAGAAGTAGACCCTATAAACTGAGTCTCACCAGTACCTACTATGCAGTGATACTGACCAGCCACCTCCCACTTTATCCCACGTACCCTGTAAAGGCAGCTAAGTTATCTTCACAATATAAATGAGTCTACAGAACTTAGAAGGGGAGCCAATCATTTAATGTCACACATCTCCTATGATGCTATGTCGAGTGAGGACTCCCAACCCCAGCGCCTGGCTCTCAAGTCTGGGGTACATTCCAGCACACTGCCCCCAAAACACAGTGTTTGGTGTTCCACGGTTTAAGACGGTTAAAGACCACAGTCAAGGACAATCCAGAAGTTCTTAAGTAGGGTCAAGTTATGCTATTATAAAGACAGGGCCACTCTTCGGCTCATTTTTTCATATTTATTTACTTTGTCTCTCGTATCTCTAAAATGAAAACAAACATGAATTTCCGGGTAAAGGTTGGGGCAGTGTCATCCAAGAAAGTAAGTAACAAGTAGAAGGGGCCGGCAGGCCTGGAAGGTCCGCCTTCCGCAGTTGCCAGGTAACAAAGGTAAACAGCACAAAGTGGCAGGATCATGGCCACTAACTACAGTGCCAACCAGGTAAGCTCTTTTTCCATCTCTAACATTGAATTTTGCGTTTGGACTGACCCTCCCAGAGGATTCTGATTATTGAATGAATAGCTGAACATGGGGTGAGACGGTATTTTTCACTTCTTTAGCTTGACGGGTAGCAAGGGCCCATGGACAAGCAAAAGGCCTCTCAGGGTTGTTTGTAGGATCTACATAAGAGGTCAGCAGGGTTTTTTCTGTAAAGGGTCAAAGGGTAAATATTTTACTTTTAGGGCCATGTTGCAAAATCAGAGATGTTTTGTAGGTACTTAACAATAGCAAGAGAAAATATTTTTCCATAAATTTTTTGACAAAATTGAAAATATTGTAACTTAATTTTTGGCAATACTAGTGAAAAAATAGAATTCTTTTGGGATGAGGAAACACTTTACTTCATTGGGATGCAAAGCTACCGTTCCCTTTTATCAATCAATTGCAAATATCCATCTGTAAAAACCATTCTTTGCTTTCTCAGGTCATCCTAAGACAGACAGGAGGATGGATTGGGCCCATGGGCCACATCTGCCCACCCCTGGTCTAGACCAGGACTGCCCAATAAAAAGATAATGCGAGTCACAAATGTAATTTAAACTTCTCTAGTAGCTATATGAAAAACACTAAAAAGAAATAAAATTAACCTTAATAATATATTTAACCTGGTAAGTCTAAAATATTATTTCAATGTTTAATCAATATTTAAAAAGGCATAATAAGATGCTTACATTCTCTTTTTTTGTACTAACTCTCCGAAATTACAAAGCACCTCCATTGGGACTAGTCACATTTCATGTGTCCGATAACCACATGGGGCTAGCAGTGCCATGTTGAACAGTACACATTTAGACCAAAAAATGACATCCCTTCTATAGTGAGTTAAAGCCTAGCTTGCCTGTTCAGGTCTTTGGTCCTCAACTCTAAAGAACTGTGCCACGTCATCATTTCCTGGGCACAGGGCCTTCGAGCCTCACAGAGATTCTCATCTTTCTCTCCACAGTACGAAAAAGCTTTCTCACCCAAGTATCTACAGAACTGGTCTCCTGCCAAGCCAACAAAAGAGGTATTGCATGTGCAGTGCTCCCAAAGCACCAGTTTCTGATTCTCTCCACCACGTTCTCTGTAACTCACTGGCACCTAATTCCTTTAGCCACCTCTAAATTCCCATATTCTCCTCTCCCTCAGCCCTTAACTTGAACCCCTTGGATACCTTCAGTCTCTTTTCCACTCCATTTTCATAAGCAGTTCTCTCCTCACCTCTACCCAGAGAATTTCTTCCCATGAAGGCTACACTCAGATTATCGCCAATGATCGTGGTCATCTGTTGCCGTCGGTGCCCCGTTCCAAGGTGAGATACTGATCCCCACTCCTAGTGAGGAAGGTAAAGAACTGGGGCACGGAACCGGAGTAACCGAGATGGGAGGTTTGCAATCTAGCACGGCCACTATCTGGAAATTAAAGTTCAATCTAATTCCCACTGCAACATGACTGCCCCCAAACTTCGAGCCAGTTTATCCAACACGATAGAGCTGTGCTTAGCACCCGGAACGCCTTAAACTGATGAATGAACGCCTTCACATGATGACACTTACACAGTGAGTACTTGCTAGACTTAGCCTAAGGACATGGAATTTAAGTTAAGCCATGAGAGTTAATGTGATGAAAAAATCAGGGTAACCTAAATGAGAAGGGGGGTAAAGGATGAGTGGGGAGACTGGGAGACTGTGCTTTCTGTCTGATTTCATTCCCATGCATCCCAAGGGTGAAGGGTAGAAGGAAGACAACAGACCTGCCAATAGGCCAGTAGTCCTGGGAGAAGCCTAAGAACCTCGTCTTCTTCCTTTTAGGCAAGTCCTTGGGGATCTTTCATGGGTACCTGGCAAATGCCTCTGAAGATACCCCCTGCTCGGGTGACCCTGACCTCCCGTACAGTTGCTGGTGCTGCCTCCCTCACCAAATGGATACAGAAAAATCCTGATTTGCTCAAGGCCTCCAATGGGCTGCGTCCTGAAATCTTAGGCAAGGTATCTATTCCTCCCACCTAGCCTCAAATCCTATTACCTGCATTTCTTTTCAACCTTAAAAAATGCCCGTTATACCACCACTATCCCAGCAGGGGGAACCTTTAACCAACCTCTGTCTTATCCTATCTAGTCCCTGTCTTCTCACACCTAAAGAGATGTGCTAAGGACATATTCCCCTCACATTACAAAATGATCTGATCTGACCTTTTGTCCATGGTATAGGGAGAAAGGGAGTGAGAATTCTAAGATGGATTGGGAATGATCTAGGCCTGACCAGAAACATGACTGTCTCTCCCATTCTACCCAGCAGCCTCATGATCCAGACGGTCAGAGAAAACTCGGGAAGCTTACCACAAAAACTGTACAACAAGCCTCAAGTCCAACCATAATTCCCAGCTCCCCAGCTGTAAATCTCAATTCCCCAGACCAACCCCAAAGCTCACACCCCTCTGCAGGTCACACTCCAGGTCCCCAAAGCCCAGCCAACTCTCTCAAGAGCCCACCAGGGAGCCCATGCATGCTAGAACACTGGGCAGGTCCTAATCCAGCTGCGGTCCAGAAATACAAACCTGGAATTCCAAAGGCACCAAGGGACCACACTGAGAAAACTCGTCTAGAGACTGAGTGATGTAAGCAGGACCCCCAGTGAGGGACATAGAACAGGGGAATTATAGGGTGGGAATAAAGGCAAACTTGGAAAATAAACATCATTTGTTGAATCTGTTACTGATTTGGATGTTTTTTTCCTCCTGGTATGGCTGTCTCTTGTAACCCATGACTAGGAGGCGGGTTGGGGGAAACAGAGTAGGAAAAAGAACACGGCAGTGGCTTGAGGTGGAACACATTTTTACAAGGATTGAGTCAGCTATCCTCCAAAAGTGACCAAGAGGAAGCTGGTCTGAACTGTAGCAAAAGAAACCTCAGGCGCCTGGGTGGCTCAGTCGTTAAGCGACTGCCTTCGGCTCAGGTCATGATCCCAGGGTCCTGGGATCGAGCCCCACATTGGGCTACTTGCTCAGCAGGGAGCCTGCTTCTCCCTCTCCCACTCCCCCTGTTTGTGTTCCCTCTCTCGCTGTGTCTCTCTCTGTCAAATAAATAAATAAAATCTTAAAAAAAAAAGAAAGAAACCTCAAAGAACCAGTCTCTCACCCCCAGCCCCTCATTTTTCATCCTGAGCATGCACAACTATTTCTAAGTCAGAAATACGATTGTTTGGTAGAGAATGCATATGCATATCTGGGGAAGATGGAGGAAGAAAAGGGAAGGGACGCCAGAGCAGAAGACATTATCCTTGTCTACGACTTCACATCTGACGACAGAACACACGGGGAAGACAAACTAGAGAGAGTTATAAAAGTAAAACTCAAGCAAAAGTACATAGTTTGCAAAGTGAAAACAGAGAAGTGACTGGAAGTCACGGAAGAAAAAGAGAGAGATGGTAAGTAGAAATTTAGGGCAGAATAACAAACACGAGGACTACTGTACCCCAACCCCAATCAAAAGGGGTAAGAAGTTCCCTATCCACTTCCCAGCTTCCAACATCTGCTTATCATTCTCCCATTCTGTGGGCTTCCCGCTGATGGCTGCTCAGTGTAATGCCCTTGCCAAACCCCTCCCAGCTCCAATGCAAAAGTGTTTCCTCATGAACCCTTGTCCCCTACTCCAAGGACAAGTACAGAGGACACAGGGTTTAAACTGGAGGAAGGCTACAAAGGCTTCCCAGGGCTAGCCCAGCAAGAAAGGAGAAGTGATCATCACATAAAGCAGAAGACCATTTGGGAGCTGAGAGGAAGACTGCTGAGGCAGCAGGTCCCCACTGTCTTAGCTTCAGTGAGGTCTTCCTGTCCAGCTGCCACCAATTACAGTCATTGCTCCTCCTCTCCAACCCACTGCTTTAACGGGCTGGCCAGCAACTCAGACAAGATAGATCTGCTACCCTTTAGTTTCCAAAAACTATCAAAACAGCACTCCTGCCAAGGGAGTTAGAGATTCAAGAGGCTGGCCCATATGGATTTTAAAAGCAGCAAGCTTGGGGCGCCTGGGTGGCTCAGTCGTTAAGCGTCTGCCTTCGGCTCAGGTCATGAGCCGAGGGTCCTGGGATCGAGTCCCGCATCGGGCTCCCTGCTCAGCGGGAAGCCTGCTTCTCCCTCTCCAACTCCCCCTGCTTGTGTTCCCTCTCTCGCTGTGTCTCTCTCTGTCAAATAAATAAATGAAATCTTTAAAAAATAAATAAAAGCAGCAAGCTTTCCCGTTACATTACAAATTTTTGCCAGGTCTTCAACGATCCCTCCTCTCTTATCTCTACTCTCCTTTCTCTACCAGTCTACATACTTAGCTCATCATCCCTTAGCTGCCACCTCCACTGGTCCTCTGGCTCCCTTACTGGATCATCATTTGCTGAATTGTACCCTGAGGTTTATGAGCAGTTCTCAGTGGAATTCTGGAGCCTGTGATAATGCAAAGCTTCCACATGCTTAACCTCCTTTCTCTTGCTCCTTCCTTCTCCGAGGCTTCTGCACGATATTCGATCTCTGGCTACTTGCATTTGATTCCCTAAACACTGTTCCAACTGTCAGCCGCAGGACAAGCTGATTCCCTCCCAAGAAAGGTCAGACTGGGGGATGTAAATGCCTGAGACCAGAGGGAGAGGGAGGAAGTTGGATCCTCCCCAACCGCCATTCTCTTGGTTTCTCTAGATTTCAGTCAAAGACAAAATGAGTATTTTAATTCAGTTTCAGAAACAGATGTCACATGAATTTGGATTAGAAAAGAGTCTTGTTTTTCCAGAAGTGCGGGGGGGGGAATAACCCTTAATAGGTTCACTGTAATCTTCTGGATCTTCCTTTTGCATTAAAAGCTATATATCTTCTCCCCAAAACACCTGCTTTCAGAGTCAACTGACCCTCTTTATCCCCAGCTAGCTGGGACAGGCTAATTCCCCTCCACCCCCAACCCTCTTCTCTCAGTCATACTGTGTGGGAAGACCCTGGGCTCTGACCAATGAACACAACTGTCCTTTAAGCTAGCAACCCACAGGCAATGGCACCCAAAGCCCCACAGCAGAGGCCACAGAGCCTCCACTGTTTCCACTGTCTCGGGAAGAAGGAGCCAAAAGCTGACCATCAGCACAAATCAAGGCCCAATATGGAGAGAGAATGAGGGCTTCCAGGCCCAGAGAAGGCTGCAAGCTGGGGGCAGGAAAAGGGAAGTTTTGAGTCATTCCATCTTTAGAAACAAGGGAGGAAACCGGACCCTCTTCCACTGCTTGGGTTCTAGGAGGTACTCTACTGTCACTAAGCTCCGAGGGGATGTGTAAGCACAAAAGGGTCTAAATAAATCGGGAGAACTCTGTCTTGGCTGGAGAAGAGAGTGACAAACAGGAAGACAGGTCAGTGAACCATTTATGAGAAGACAATGCTGGGAACTTCAGGTCTTCACATGGCTGCCAGCCCTACAGAGGACAACACAGTAAGAACCAAGACAGCCACTCCAGACTGGTACAGCTGGGGAATCTTCAGGCCTTTCCCTAGGTCCCATATCTGCAGAAAAAAGAAAAGAAAAAAAAGAGAAGAAAGAATTTCAGCCATCAGGGCCCTGGGTACTCTCCTTTCTGAGAAAGGAGCTCCACCTCATGGAACGGGCAACTGGTCTTGGCGTGGTTCTAGGGAAAAGCACTTCTCCTGGACCCTGCCTTTCTCAAACCCACAACGTGGTACCTACCACCCACTTGTCCCAGTGACAGAAAAGGCATATATACAAAGTATAGCCCCTATATACAAAAGCTTCCAGACTAAAGAGATAAAACTTTCCCTCATGGAACAAAACCAAATCAATGTTTCCCAAAGTGTGTTCCTCCACAAACTAGTTCTTCAGAATGCTAAAAGGTGTTGCATGGGGGAGAAAAGTTCCATGGTCGAATAAATTTAGTAAACATTTAACTGCAAGACTTTTGAAACAATTTATTAACATACATGGGGAAGTTCCAACAGGGACATAAGATACATGGTTTCTTAGATACAGTCAATCACAGAACCACCACCACCTCCCCCCACCCCTGCCTTTGAGAAGTAACATCCAGTCAGAGAACTAGAATTCTGAAAAACCCTCCGGGATCTAGAACACTATTTCTCAATTTTGTTTGCCAGTATATTTACAGCAAAAGTTCATGAAAGAATAAGCAATATCTACCATTAGTATGTATGCTGCATTCTACATATTATGTGCTATTAAATTTCTGGGGTTTTTTGTTTTTTGTTTTTAAAGTAAGCTCTACACCCAATGTGGGGCTTAAACCCTCGACCCCAAGATCAAAAGCCACACTCTCCACCAAATGAGCCAGCCAGGAGCCCCTAAATTTCAGGATGTGTTGGTAATAACCCACTAAATTGGTTTTCTACCCACTACATCAAAAACCAGGGTTTTAAGAACACTGATCTAGCCTCTCCTGTACCCCAGGGATACTAACGTATTATACTCTAAGTCACTAAAAGATCCCCTAGGGCAAAAGTAGAATTTTTAGGTTCTCCACTTTCCATACTTGACTGCCCCAATATAACACAAACACCCACACTCTGAATGTTAAACTAAATTAGGAGTACTTAAGAGAAAATTTAGAGAGAACCAGAGGGGGAGGGGGCGAGGGGGGGTGGAGAATCAAGGCTCTACTTGGATCAGATTAGGAGTCAAGCAGATCCCACATAGAGCTGTTTTGCTTATATAGGCACAGTGTTTTACCAAAAAAATGGAGTCCTACTGGCGGGTGGTGACGGGGGGTACTCTCTAGAAGGCCAGAGATCTGGTCACTTCCCACTCTTCTATCAATTCCACTCCCCTCTCCCCATTAGATCTTCGGGAAAGGCAACTATCAAGCTCAGAAGGCAAGAGCTATGACTGCCTGTCATGGAGAACAGATCAAATCCTGTCCCACACTCAGAGCCAGTACTTGCTACAAGAAAAAATAAAAGCAGAGTTAAGGGGTAAGAAAAGCCTTTAGGCTCCTCACTTCTCTCAACGAAGAGATTACCATTACAGGCAGGAACCAGGGCAGAAAAACCTTGACTGAGTTCTGAGATTTTACAAAACCTTTTCCCCTTCCCTCCCCACAGACTGAGACAAAACCAAATATATGGTAAGTCCTGCTAGAGCCCGGATGTGAACAGAGGAAGCTGATTTTCATTAGAGAGATTGGTTCTGTGGAATAAGAAGTCATTAATGGAAATGCCCTCCTTCTCTATCCCCTCCCAGAGGGAAGTGAATTCATTATGAATCAAACTGAACACTGCCCCAGGGAAGAGTTGATAGATACACTTAATAGGTCATTTAGTCTCTCACTTTTCTGATTCCATTAAACTGTCTATTGGACCAGATTGAAATCCAGAGTGTGTGCCTCTAGATTCTGACGTGGAAATTATAAAGGTCAGATTAAGGCAAGAGTATCCATCTGACAGATGGCTCAGGTTAGGAAGGAACTGGAAGACAAGAAAGAATGGGAGTCATAATTGTCTTCCTGGGAAAGCAAGCAATACTAGGGGTAGGGAGACCACAAAACATGGAATCTTAAAATGCTGGAGGAGGGACTCATCTCTGACCTGGGGCAGGCATGATTAAGCTTTAATTCCATTATATAAAGAGAAGGAGGTGGTGCCTGGGTGGCTCAGTGGTTAAGCGTCTGCCTTCAGCTCAGGTCATGATCCCGGGGTCCTGGGTTCGAGCCCCACCTCGGGCTCGCTGCTCGGCGGGGAGCCTGCTTCTCCCTCTGCCCCGTCCCTGCTCCTGCTCTCTCTCACTCTCTCTCCTGTGCGTGTGCTCTCTAATGGATAAAATCTTAAAAAAAGAGAGAGAGAGAGAGAAGGAAGGGCTCCTGGGTGGCTCAATCAGTTAAGTGTCCGACTCTTGGTTTCGGCTTAGGTCAGGTCTCAGGGTGCTGGGATCGAGCCCCATGTTGGGCTCCTCACTCAGTACAGAGTCTGCCTGTCCCTCTCCCTCTGCTCTTCCCTGGCTCGTGAGTGTGCCCTGAGTACATGTGCATGCACTCTCTCTCTCTCAAACAAATAAACTAAAAAATAGTAACAAAAGTTAAAAGAGAGCGAGAGAAGGAGAAAAGTCATATAGGAGGAAGCCTGGACAGTTTTCAGGCCATCAAAAGATTCCTAACCCCAATATTAAAATCTGGGATCCTAGGTATCCAGTTACTGTTAAAGTTGGCCTCATTTTCTCCAAGAGCTCAACAAAAACCAAAAACAGTTAATGCAATCCAGTGTCAAGATAACTGAAGTTAACATATTCAACTCCAACTGAACTTGTCACCCTGGGTTGACAGGAATGTTAGACTGAAAGCAGCAACCATCCAGCTCAGAACTGAAACCCCAAGGTCTAGAACAGGGCCTGACACATCAGAGGGATGGCCTGGCTTCCGGGGTCTCTTTTAGCAACACGCCCCCTTAAAAATAGAACAGTTCACACCAAGACACTGCAAGTACCTGCCAGGCCTACACCCAGAGCTCAGCGGGACCCCCAGCAGGGCTGCCAGGAGTGCACACGGATCTAGTTTAGCTCTCCCCAAGGAGCCCCTGAACAAAGGTCCAGACAACTAACTTTAGGAGTAGCACTAAACCCCGGCAATGAAGTAGACAATCCCACACTTCCCTACACTCCCTTCACCCAGAAAATGTATAAACCAACAATTAACTTACCAAGTGTCGGATCCCATTCCAGGTGTGATACATGAGAGGGAAGACAAGTGCAAACTTGGCCGTGTAGATCAGTGATGGCCCCAGACACAGGGACTTCACAAGTTCCAAATGAGACTCAAAGTTCCCAGGGATCAACAGGGCCGACAAGCCAAAGAGAGAGACCCCTGAGGAGAAAACCAAGTAAGCCCATTAAAGCTGTCCACCTGCTACCACTACTAAAACACATAAAACTGGGTTCTGTGACAGGCCCTGGCACCTCATACAATTCTGACCCATTGTGAAATGGGGAAGATTTAAACTAGTGTTCATGTCTGTAGTGGGAGGTAGGCTACTTGGGACCTGACCCTAATCTCTTAAATTTGCCATACAGGTTAGCATATTATTCCTCCTCCGAACATTCCTCTCGACAAAAACTTCACCTGCCACTTTATAAGTCACCTTCTGACTGCACCTACATTATCATCTCTGTAAGAAAAAGTAAAAACAGTATATTCAGTCCAAGGTAAAGAATCATTCAGATCTCAGGGCGCCTGGGTGGCTCAGTTGGTTAAGCGACTGCCTTCGGCTCAGGTCATGATCCTGGAGTCCCGGGATCGAGTCCCACATTGGGCTCCCTGCTCAGCGGGGAGTCTGCTTCTCCCTCTGACCCTCTTCCCTCTCGTGCTCTCTATCTCTCATTCTCTCTCTCTCAAATATATAAATAATCTTTTAAAAAAAAAAAAAAAAGAATCATTCAGATCTCTACCACACACACACAAAATGTAACGCAAAAGGGATTGGAGACCTGAACGTAACAGCTAAAACATTAAAACTCTGAGAAGAAACCACAGGAGTCAATCTTCATGACCCTATATTAGGCACTGGTTTCTTAGATACGGTGCCAAAACCATCGTAACAAAAGGATAAATTGGATTTTATCAAAATTAAAAATTTTTGTGCTGCAAACAAATAATGTCATTAAGAAAGTAAAAAGATGAACAAAAGGCACAGCACAGGGAACACAGTCAATGGTAGTGTGCTAGGGTGCGTGCGGACAGATGGTGGCTGCAACTGTGCTGAGCACAGCCTATTGTACTGAGGAGCTAACCCAGTACGCTGTACACCTGAAACCAATGTACCATGGTAGGCCACGATCCTCAAATTGGAAAAAGAAGTAAGAAGACAACACAGAGTGAGAGAAAATATTTGCAGATCATATGTCTGTAAGGGACATGTATCCAGAATATACTGAAGACTCTTACAACTCAATAATAAAAAGACAACCCAATTTAAAAATGGACAAAGGATCTAAATAGGTATCTCTCCAAACATAGATAATTAAATGGCCAATAAGTATACGAAAAGATGCTCAACACCATTAGCCGTTAGGGAAATGCAAATCAAAACCTCAATGAGAGACAGCCCGGGTGACAGAGTCAGTTGAGCATTTGTCTTCGGCTCAGGTCATTTTCCCAGGGTCCTGGGATCGAGTCCCGCATCAGGCTCCCTGCTCAGCGGGGAGTTGCTTCTCCCTCTCACCTTCCTTCTGTGCTCTCCCTCTCTCTCTAATAAATAAAATCTTAAAAAAAAAAAAAACCATGATGAGATGCTACTTCACACCTACTAGGATGTTATAATATATAAATATAAAATTATGTGCATTTATATAAGATATACACATTTATATAAATACCAAATGTGTTTAATTTTTTTTCCTAGACAGAGAGAGACTATGCGAGCAAGTGAGCAGGGGGGAGGGGCAGAGGGAGAAGGAGAGAGAGAATCTTAAGCCTAGCATGGAGCCCGATGCAGGACTCCTGAGATCATGACCTGAGCTAAAATGAAGTCAGACGCTTAACCAACTGAGCTACCCAGATGCCCCTCAAATACAGGTAATTTATATTTATTTTATTTATTTATTTATTTTTTAACACTTTATTTATTTGACAGAGAGACAGACAGCGAGAGAGGGAACACAAGCAGGGGGAGTGGGGGAGGGAGAAGCAGGCCTCCCGCAGAGCAGGGAGCCCGATGCGGGGCTCGATCCCAGGACCCTGAGATCATGACCTGAGCTGAAGGCAGACGCTTAACGACTGAGCCACCCAGGCGCCCCTAATTTATATTTAATAACATAAATATAAAAAAACAGATAATAACAAGTGTTGGCAAGGATGTAGAGAAATTAGGATCTCACACATTGCTGGTGGGAATGTGAAATGGTACAGCCACTTTGGAAAACAATCTGGCAGTTTCTCAAAACGTTGACAGAATTAGGGATGGCTGGGTGGCTCAGTGGGTTAAGTGTCTGCTTTCAGCTTGGGTCCTGATCCTGGAGCCCCGGGACTGAGCCCCACATCGGGCTCCCCGCTCAGCAGGGAGCTTCCTTTTCCCTCTGACCCTCCCCCATCTCATGCACTCTTCCTCTCAAATAAATAAATATTTAAAACAAAAAAGCTTACGTTTAGTAGGGGAGACACTTAAGTAAATCAATCTACAGTCCAAGGTAAGGTGCTGGAGGGCACTAGCACCGTAACAAAGGCGTATGTGTGCATGGGGTGCTCAGGAACACACACAACAGTCGAAATCCATCCGGTAGGAGGGGCAGAGTATCCTGAAAAGCTTTTTCTCAGAGGTGTATTTAAGCGAAGTTTTGAGAAAAGAGATGAGGGGGCAGAGAAGTGCGGAGTGGCAGGATACATCAAAGAGGGCCTTACATGCTAAACTACAGATTTTAAACTTGATCCTGCCAGGCAAGGAGGACAGAGTTCATCCTGGTGCCAAACACAGTTCATCTCAGTGCCAACCCATATCAATTAATAATGGCTATCTAAAGTGTTTTAGTAAGACATATAGATGGCCAACACATACATGAAAAGATGCACAGTATCATTAATCATCAGGGAAATGCAAATCAAAACCAATATGAGGTATCACCTCACACCAGTCAGAATGCCTCGTATCCAAAAGAGAAGAAATACCAAGTGTTGGCAAGGACGTGGGGAAAAGAGAACCCTTGCACACCGGTGATGGGAATGTAAATTGGTACAAACACTGTGGGAAACACTATGGAGGTTCCTCAAAAAATTAAAAACAGAAATACCATATAATCCAGTAATTCCACTACTGGATATTTACCCAAAGAAAACAAAAACACTAATTCAGGGCGCCTGGCTGGCTCAGTCGGAGGAGCATGACTCTTGATCTCAGGGTCGTGAGTTCAAGCCCCATGTTGGGTGTAGAGATTACTAAAAATAAATAACAACAATAACAAAAACACTAATCCCCTATGTTTATGGCAACATTATTTACAATGGAAGATATGGAAGCAGCCCAAGCGTCCATCAGTAGATGTATGGACAAAGATGTGGTATATGTACACAGTAGAAGATCACTCAGGCATAAAAAAGAATGAGATCTGGGGGCGCCTGGGTGGCTCAGTCGTTAAGCGTCTGCCTTCAGCTCGGGTCATGATCTCAGGGTCCTGGGATCGAGCCCCGCACTGGGCTCCCTGCTCGGTGGGAAGCCTGCTTCTCCCTCTCCCACTCCCCCTGCTTGTGTTCCCTCTCTCGCTGTGTGTCTCTCTCTGTCAAATAAATAAATAAAATCTTAAAAAAAAAAAAAAAAGAATGAGATCCGCGATCTGCAACAACATGGATGCGCCAAGAGTGTATTATGCTAAGAAATAAGTTAGCTAGAAAAAGACGAATGCCAGGCGCCTGGGTGGTTCAGTTGGTTAAGTGTCTGCCTTCGGCTCAGGTCATGATCCCAGGGTTCTGGGATCGAGTCCCACGTTGGGCTCCCTGCTCAGCAGGGAGTCTGCTTCTCCCTCTGCCTTGCCCCGCCCCCCACCCCGTGTGCTCGTATTTTCTCTCAAAAATAAAATCTTAAAAAGAAAAAGACAAATACCATATGATTTCACTTATATGTGGAATCTAAAAAACAAAACAAACAAACAAATGGACTCTTAAATACAGAGAACAAACTCATGGTTGCCAGAGGGGAGGTGGGTGGGGGAACAGGTGAAATATATGAAGGGGATTAAGAGGTACAAACTTCCAGTTATGAAGTAAATGAATCAGAGATGAAAAGTCCAGCACAGGGAATATAGTTGGTAATATTGTAAAGACACTATATGGTGACAGGTGGCGACTTCACTTATCCTGAGCCCTGAGTAATGTATACAGTTGTCCAATCAATATACTGTATACCTGAAATTAAAAAAAAAAAAAAAAAAAGGTGTTATAGTGGGAAGGATTCTTAGGCTGCATCATATACAGAAACAATGACCTGCCCTGGCCCCAGAAGGAGGGGAAGGTTACTGGGGTCAAATACTGCCATTCTAATGGGACTGATAAATTAAGAGTTTTAAACTGGACAGTGGTATGGTCAGATACACCCTTTGAAAAGGTCAACTTGGCAGCAGCAGGGGGACAGATGAGAGGAGTCGGGAGAGGCAGACAGTCTGAACAGGATGCTGTGGTAATTCCAAGTCTCCAGCGGATGAAGGGGAGGGCTTGACTAAAGACAGTAACAGGGAGAATAAAGAATGGAAAATTGGGTAAAATTTGGGGATTTGGGGTAAATGAGGTAAGTCAAGGATGGTGGTTTACAAGGGCTGACTAGATAATGCCCTTCACCCACACAGGGAACGAAGGAAATGCAGGCCGTCTTTAGTTTCACTTTTGATTTGTCTGAGGATGGATGCTGATCAGTTGAGAGTACCACTAAGTGGGAGGTACCTACGGAACAGCACGTGAGGATACGCAATAAGCAGCTGACTAAAGGCCTAAAGCTAACTGGGCTCTGGCTTAAAGACACAGATTTGAGGGTCACCTGCATGTAAGCGATGAGTGAAGTCTGAAGTGTGGATGGGGCGACTGGGGGAGGTGAAGTCCTCGAGGGCAAGGGCCATAGCTCCTCATTTCTGGAAGCACCACAGTTCACACAGAGAGCAACACAAAACAGGTTTCAACGCTACTGGGTCAAGAAGTACAGCTGGTAACGTGGGACCCGTGACTAGAGACTGAAGTGGGGGGCCATCTTGTGGGGCTGTGCCCTTGACCTGTGGGGGTCTGCACTAACTCTGAGTAGTGAGTATCAGTGCTGCACTGAATTGGAGACACCCAGTTGGTGCCTGGAGAATTGGAAAATTTGTTGTTAATGGGAAAAACATGCATTTGGTGTC